GGAAGTTAATGAACTTCTCGGTCATAAGTATGATAGTTTCTTGATTGAACATGATTCCATTTGTCATCATTTCATCGCTGTCATGTATCGCTTCTAAGTTGGGTTCCCATGCTTTGATTATATAGATAAGTGTCAGTAGAACAATTATAGTGTGACTCACTTTAGATGATTTGATACGCTAAAAAATGTCAATGATGGCATTACTCTAACAAGTATATGAATTTTATTCGATATTTTGTTTAAAGAATATTTTATTCTCAAAAAACCCAAGTTTTATATGTATCTTTTTAGCGCTTACTTTTAAAAGAGACTTAAGCTCAGTTTTTTTTCGAGTATTCTAGTTCAAATCATGTGTTTTAATTTGACATCGAAATGTTTTGGCCTTTTGTGCTGTCCCACTGGGACTTTCTACCGGTCAAAAGAGGGCATTCTATCTTTCACTGAAAGAACTGCCAGTGCTTGTCCTGTGATCAATGAGCAAAGAGAAAAAACAATGAGAGTTCAATGATACTACTGGTAATTTTGCCAATTCTGCTGCTGGCTATTGTTCTTTACAAACTTCTGTAAGTTAGCTCTTTGATCAGCTAGAGATTGAAAAAATAGAAATGTTTGAAAAACAATTCAGTGTCGTGTTTAGCGTCAAATTTACTTCTTGCTGTATTTTTTTTCTGTTTCTCAAGTGGGGTGCCATTTGTGTTCCTTGTGGTCTTATGTTGTTTGAGTACCCCCGTTCCCTATTTAGTATCCCACTCCTATCACTATATTATATCTGTAGACTATAACTAAGTCTAACTTAAGTTTTAGAATAAGGATGTGGCCAGCTGAGTTATGGCTTCGGAATTGCGGCTCGAAGATGGAAGAATTGTGATTTTGAATTATTGAATTACTCTCTCTGTTAACAGATTTCTTCAGTGATCGGTACGCATTTTTCAGCTCCCTTTTATACTAGTTTTGTTTTACCGTAATAAATATCATTGGCATCTCATTCCGGTTATGACATTAATTTTTCAAACAGTTTTCAAATACATTTTTTCAAATTTGGTAACATGGCATTAAATATTCATGCATTTACAGTAAAGGTTATTAAGATTGAAGTGCTGACATTAACAAGATTGTGTTTTAGATTGACCGCGGACAACAATGTTTGGCAATTGATAAATTGCTTAAAAGTTTGTGCACCAGAGTTTATGTTAATGGCATTTTGAGTTTACTTGAGTATATTATCTCCACTGTTATCAATATATTACAACTTTCTTAAAGTCATCATAATTATAAATTATAAAAATAACTTTCTGGTAAACTTTCTTACAATAAAGTATAATATGAAATATTTTATTCAATGATCATTATGAATTATCATAAAATTTTTTATAAATTATCACGAAAATTTATAAAGATTAGACGCAACTAAACTAGGACAATGAGCACTGAGAACATATGAAATCCAAAATATATGGATCAGAACAAGAACGAAACCTCTAGGGAGCGATGGTGAAGTGGTTACATCTCCGCCTCTGAAGAGAAAGGTCGGATGTTCGAGGCCCACCATGATCCCTGCTCATTGAAACAATACCCAGCCCAGAAAAATAGCCAAATTTCTGCAAAATTTTCGAAACAGTGTCACTGCAGCAGGTTTTTCGTTGTATATAATACGTTTCCAATTGCCGCAAAAGAATTTTATATCTATTTAGATAGTTTTTGATGAAATTTACAAAAAAAGTTTCAAATTTGTTCAACAATGCCTATTATTTAAAACTTATAAAAATCGAGTTGTACATGAACAACGTCTGATTCAAGACTGTGAAAATGTTTCAGGCTCGTGGTTTTTTGATTGCTTATCTAAAAGGGGACCGTAACTTTAGCATAAAGATGAAATAGCGTAAAAAACTGAAGTTTCTTAAAAGATGATTAAATACATGTGAGCCAATCGAATTTCATGATGCAAATAGTATCCACAACATTCCGGCTATCGATCGCATTGTCTTATATCAAGAAATTGGCTGTAATTGAGTGTAAAAAACGCATTGACTTGGATTTTACTCATTTTTGTGTGTAGAAAATGTGAAAATAAATAAATAATAGTCATGCATCTGCCACTAAAAAGCCCTGCGGAAACGTTCATCCATTGGTTTCAGAATGACGATATGTTTTCGATTTCTAGAATTCCAAATTTGGTTACAAACAACGCAAAAACACGTATATAAAGCAAGGAAAATTTAAAGCTCCATTTAAAATCTATGAGCTATTTTATACAGCCCCTATCTAAACAGCCAATTTGAAAACTTTTGTGGAAAGCTTATTTGTCACTATTACATACAAGCATAGCTTGTTTTAAAAATGTTTGTTACTATTTGTTATTATAGAAACTCAAGCCCATAAAAATGAAGATCACATTATATTTGATTGACATAGTTTTTGATAGTTTTGGTTTGTCTATTATTGCTTTGGAGACATAATTTTACACATGACTCCGAGCCTTATTCTCATACCTTCAAGCTTCCTGTGGAAAAAAACATGGTTGTGGAAGAAATTGGTTTTGCGGAGACAAATGATTGGATCACTTTTGCACGTTCAATTTGAGAGTATTTGTACCTCAAAAAATATTAATTCTATGTGGAGATAAGGTGGTAACGGCAAACTCTCAAAGATTGGACAAACCGAGTTTTGAAACCTGAAAACGGATCTTGAATGATATAAATGTAACATGTTTGGGCAACTTTTTTAAGAATTTGTTCCGACCCACCTTACGAAATAAGAAAGAACTACGTGCTAGGTATAGTTTTTTCTCAAAAAAAAGTTTGCAGAGGGCTTATTGTAGTATGAGAATAATGCTCTAGTAATTGTGATTCAGGTTCCAAAAAAATGAGAAACATCGTCAAGTTTTGAGAAAAATTGGTCTGAAAACAAGTTTTTTATCTAATTAGATAATTAGAAAAGTTTGATTAGGGGCTTACCTCTTACATTTTCTGTATATTTCTGGCTACTTGGATTTTATTCATTTTTGTGTGTAAAAAATGTGAAAATAATTAAATAATAGTCATGCATCTGCCACTAAAAGGCCCTGCGGAAACGTTCATCCATTTGTTTCAGAATGACGATGTGTTTTCGATTTCTAGAATTCCAAATTTAATACAAAAAACGCAAAAACACGTAATTAAAGCAAGAAAAATTTAATGCTCTATTTAAAATCTATGAGCTATTTTATACAGCCCCTATCTAAACAGCCAAATTAAAAACTTTTGTGGAAAGCTTATTTGTCACTATTAAATACAAGCATAGTTGTGTTAAAAATGTTTGTTACTATTTGTTATTATAGAAACTCAAGCCCATAAAAATGCAGATCACATATTATATTTGATTGACATAGTTTTTGGCAATTTTGGTTTGTCTAATATGGCTTTGGAGATACAATTTTACTTATGACTTCGAGCCTTATTCTCGTACCTTCCAGCTTCCTGTGGAAAAAAAACTTGGTTGTAGAAGAAATTGGTTTTGCTGGGACAAATGATTGGAAAACTTTTTCACGTTCAACTTGAGAGTATTTGTACCTCAAAAAATATTAATTCTATGTGGAGATAACGTGGTAACGCCGAACTCTCAAAGAATGGACAAAACGAGTTTTGAAACCTGAAAACGGATCTTGAATGATGTAAATGTAACTTCTTTTGACAACTTTTCAATTTTTTGTTCCGACCCACCTTGCGAAGTAAGAAGGAACTATGTGCTAAATATACTTTTTTTCTCAAAAGAAAATTTGCAGAGGGCCAATTGTAGTATCATATTCAGGCTCTAGTAGTTGTGATTGAGATTCCAAAAAAAAATCAGAAACATCGTCAGGTTTTGAGAAAAATTGGTCTGAAAACAAGTTCTCTATCTAATTAGACAAAGTTTGATTAGGGGCTTACCTCTTACAGTTTCTTGCTATTTCATATCCCAAAAAAATTATTTAGTATTTCTCATTTATGCATTTTTAAAGCTAATTAGTCAAGGTTTACTTTAAAAAACACGCGGAAATTTACGAAAACGCGAAAGTTCATCGGTTTTTTTGAATTAATTTGTGGTCGAAACTTACTGTGCTTCCTGCAGAGCAGTTTGCTCCACTTGAAAAAAATTTCAAACCATTTTGAAACTAATATTATTTTTGAAACAATAACATAGTTTTTCACTGAGCCAAATTAGCCGATAAAAGCAAATAGTTCTACAGCTTAAATTCGCCTTAGGTCGTGGGTTAGAATGGCTGTTGATTCTACCCTATGTTTAGAATGACATAATCTAAAATGATACCTCTGGAGCAGGGGCGGATCAAAGATTTTCTCGAGGGGGGGGGGGGGGGGGACGGATTTTCAAAAACTTTTCGAAAATTTTGACGACCTTTTTTTTTTAAGATCGACCAAATTGATTTTGCGAGCTCTCCTAACGCACTAAAAAGACGCTGTTTTGGCCAAATTTTCTGCGCCGCAGGCAAATTTTTGAAAATTTTGACAAAAAGCCGTTTTCAGCACTTATTGGAATTTTTTTTTGGCCCGCGTTCCTCCTCAAAAATAATATATATTTGCGCCGAAGGCGCCGTTAGAAAAATTTTAGAGTCGGTCGGCCAAAAATGGATTTCTTAAAAAGTACCAAAGGGTGGACCCTTTGGGTCGGCAGGGGGTCGAATCCCTGAGGGTCGGCAGGGGGTCGAATCCATGAGGGTCGGCAGGGGGTCGAATCCCTGAGGGTCGGCAGGGGGTCGAATCCCCTAAATCCGCCCCTGCTCTTGAGCAATTACCTTCTCATACTGTACATGGTAAATAATCTACACTTAAGGACAAAACCCATCAGCTTAGCATATAAGGAAATTGAGCCCAGAAACTGATCCCACCAGCTTTGCTTTGATGTGCCAGAGAGAGATTAGTTTAGAGATTCTTAAATTGCTCAACTACCAATGTCAGAAAATATTTTAAAACATCAAATTGAAATTATCTAATTCAATTGTAACTGAATTTGTTTCTAATTGAGTTTTTATCTAACAATCAAATACTTGACTGCTTTTACTTGTCTTCAGAATGTTAATTCTGACCAGATACAAAACAATCACTGATATTATTTCCACTTGAGCCAGGGCTAAATTATGCGTGATAGATTTTTCCATAACTCTGGACCTCATAAGATCATCGGCAACACAGAACCACACGAATAGTTGCAGAGCGATGAGTACCTCGAGAAATGAAGCGAGTCCTTTTATGTGTAGATCCAACCGGCCAGAATTCCATTCAATGACAGACTTCAAGTCTGAATTCAACTGAGCTGCTTTAATCGCAGAGTTGATGAGTATATGCAATAGGAAGAAAATGAACAGAGAGCTCGAGAGAAAAGTGAGGAAGAGTGTCGAGTAAAGTAGGGTTTGTTGGTCGATGATATTTTCAAGATAGCTAGTTTTGTTGGCTTCGTATGATGCTGATATTGATGATGATGATAATGATATTTGGTAAATTAGGTTGAATGCCAGAAGAGAAAACCAACAGATCAGAGCCAGAAGAAACAGCTGAAACACGCGACCATTTAGTGAAAAGTGCGTTTAACCAGTTTTTGGGATCATTTTGATGACACAAGATACAAAATTGAATACAGTTTTTTGAGCGGATAGGGGTATATTTTTAGGCCGATAGGATTTACTTATGAAGATGAGGGGTAGGGGCAGGGGCGGATTTAGGGGGGGGTCGACTAAATTTGCCCCAGGGTAGGGGTATGGGATCAAGTTTCTGAGACTTTCGAACCCTTTCCCTATAAAATTTGCATTTACCTGAAGGGTAACCAGCATCAATCGGAGGCCCAATCGGTTCGAACATAGGACAATTAGAAGAACACCTGTGGCTGAAGACAACGAAAGCACCAACTGCTGGCAGTAGAAATCTTGCCACGTTTCCAGATAATAGTCGGCCATAATCAGCGGCGCTGTTAATGAGATAGATACTTGGATATGATAGAAACACTTGCAACAAAAATCGATAAAGAACTACGGTTCTAAAAAAGAGTCTGCAATGCTGCCTTTATAGATTATATCAAAACGCACAAAACGTTTCCCAACGTTTTTAGGACAGACTAAAAGCTGCAACCAATTCTAACAAATCTCAAAACAGCGACAAACTTTTTGTAACGAAACAAAAATTATGAATGTGCATGAAGAAGATATGACTTTTCTACCGTTCCTCCTCACCCCGGATATAAACATCATTTTTATGATTTGATCTGGAAAAAAACAGAATGTGATTGCAATTTGGCGGTTTTCGACTAACATGTCAATTTTTATAACAGTTGGACCTCATGATCAAAAGTTAAGTACATATGAAAAAATGCAGGTAAGGGGACAGTAGAACCACTTAAGATGAACATGAAAAGCCTTAAATTAAAACAAAAACGAAAAAAAATTCTAACCGATTCTTGTATAATCTGCAGACTAAAATTAAATAAACTCGCTGCTGGTTCGCTTTAATTCAACGTACTTTTTGTACGAGTTGCTCAGTTGTTAGATATATTGACAGAACTAAAGCGTTTAAGGCGTATAGAACAGCACATGTGCATTCTGTCATTATGAGCTGGTCGTATCAAGACTTAATATAATTTTTAGAAAAATGTGTTTTTAGGTTGGATTAATGACATTTTTTGGTTTGATCTTCAACAAAAACAGATTAATTCTTAAAAAACAGCACATGTGCTCCAATCATGTGGTCAAATGTACTTAATTAATAGCTTTTCGGTATTAAATGTACAACAATGGTGTAGTTCGTTCTCAAGATGAGATGCCAAATAACAGCAAGGATAGCCGGTTGCTGTGCAATTAGCACAGAATGTTCAGACAATATAAACACAGAATGTTCATACACGGAATATTCAGACAATTAAAAATATGTTTTCCGTTTCCTTTCTTAAAATTAATGTCATTTTTAGTGCGGGGTGTGATTTGAGAACTATACAAATGCGTACAAATTTAATGAATAAGGCATAATCGAAATTATTTGTCTTCAGAAAAAATGTTAAAATTAAAAAAATATATATAACAAATTTTTCGCACAATAATTATATTTTTTAGGAAACTTTTTTGTGCCTAGAAAGCACTAAACTATACATCCAAAACTAGTTTTCTTTATAGTAAATTTCAAGTGTTTCAGCCTAAAATTCGAAATTTAAAAAATTGAACTTAAATTGATAAAAATTTCGGCGAACCATTTTTTATCAAAGCTGGGACAACTTTTTAATGTTGTTCGAATCACGACCAAAAAGGCTTTAATTTGGTCCAGCACTCGACCCATTCCAGTGATTATTTGTTGTACCTAATTTGCATGGAACACACAAAAAAGAAAAAACTTAAACGCACCCGAATACAAAGTTCCTAGCAATTTTCAATGGTCGAAACAAAAACCTAACTCAGATACAAATGATGGCGTAATATTACATATTCACCTCATTGTGGAAACTTTCTCAATACGCATACGTTTCAAATTCTTGTTCCAGTTGGGCTGATTTGAAAAGCGATTAAGTGAGGGCGGCAGAATATTATCCAATTTCGTAAAATGGGTGAACTAAGGTGCACAAACCAAACGTAATGAGCGTGCACTTAAAGAGGTGTATGTAGTCTATGATACGTCTATGATATAAAAAGAATACCCATTAACCACAGAACCCTGAAACATATTATAGAGTTCAAAAGTTGAACACGAAATGACACGAAATCTAGTGATGTTAAAAATCTAATTGTTTTTGGAAAAAATTTTACAGATAAATTAATTATAAAATTACGGATATACTAAGTTGAGCATACTAAATTGAATTTTTCCATCTTTCATGAAGTCTAAAAATCAACAAGGCTCAAGAACTCGACACGATAGCTTTTCTTCTTTCGTATCGACCAAATCTACAAATGGTGATATAATCCCATGTCTAGAGAAAACGAGAAACAGATTATTTGCAAAATTATCGGCTTGTGACGACTTTACCATCGTTATCGAAAGTGATTCAGATAGCTGCGGATATTCAGCTAACAGACTTTCTAAATAGCTACAAATTTTGAGCTTCACTCATTGGTCAGCTTAGCACCCTAACTGCTCAACATAAACAGACAAAAGAGATCTATGATGGGCGATATGTCAGACGCAATCTGACACCCGGATGTCAGACGGACGAAATCCGAAATCGGTCCAAAATGATTTGCTTTTTAACTCAAAACTTTGGTTGATTTTTGAGGAAATAGAAGCAATTTTGATTTGAAAAATTACATTCCGATGAACCAAATTAATGAACTTCATTCGAAATTCAAAAGGCAGATAAATAGTCTTTTTCAGCAAGGAAAACTACCCTATTCATCAAGTTGTTCAGACTTCATTGGATGTCTCATTAAATTGTGTGTGACTAAATATAACCTTAGTTTGATTCTCGAAAACACAATGGCTTTGGAAAGACGGGTAACAAAAATTATAATTTGAAAAAACTATTCAATAAGAAAAGCCAATGGATACAAAAAAAACGGGTAACAAAAATTGTAATTTGAAAAAACTGTTCAATAAGAAAAGCCAAAGGATACAAAATAAAGTTCGCCATAAAGTGACTCCCATGCTTTTTAGTGGCCTAAACTTTTACGAAGATCAAAAAGAAAAACTAATTTCAAAAATAAATTCTAACGCACTGAACTACACAAAAAGTCAGTTGTTTATGATGGAGTAGTTACTGCCTATTTTTGTGCGCAATTTGAACAATTACAAGAAATTTAAAACAAACTCTCTCTCTCTCAAGACATTATTCTGCCAAGTATTTTGATGATACAGTCCACCTTTGCGATGAAAATTGATGATGTAAAGCTTACATCATCACTTTCGACATCATCTACAAAGATAACTAGACAAAGCAAAAGTGCAACAATTCTCCAAAACGTCATGAAAAAAAGTATTTTACCTTAAAACAGAAAGAAACCTCAAACTACCTAACAAATAATAATGCGGTCAAAATCATTATCTAATGTATGATTGAAGAGAAACATTTAGATTGATGTAAGAATGCAGCTATGCAACTTTTAAAAGAAACGCAGATTGATAAATTGAAATAAAATTAAGGAACAAAAAAGGCAGAAAAAATGATGAAGCAAAACTTCGAATAGTCAAACAGTTCAAATTAAACAAGAAAAGCTTTATTACAGTGCATGTACACTGCGCTACAACAAATAAGTAGACACTTGTTTTCAACATGCAAATGATGGAAATTTTTTCTACCCGTTTTTGTCGTTTTCTCTGCAAATAGTTAGGATAAAGGGTTGAAATTTAGATTTTCAGAAAGACTTTGCCACGTCGAAGTTCGAGAAATCGTTCCTTGAAGGCGTAAAATAGCTAGTATAAGCTAAGTAGTTTCAGAGGTGTTTTTGATGTGAAAACATAATTGCAAGCTACATAAGAAATCCGATTCCATGGACTCAAATTGGTTCTTTGGGAGACTGATGAGCTCGGCTTACTCTTTTTTAAAGCGCGGAAAAAGGACAGAGAGAATAATTGAAAGGGTGACTTGGTCTGGCGTCAATAAAGGGGTGAACATAAAAAAGTAATTTCGCGCGATGAACAAAATGAGCCAAAAAAGCTGCTCCAGCAATTGTTTTGGAAAACTGACTGCTTCAATCTATGTACAGGATTCTCATAAGCACTTGAGTTGTCTTTAAAACTTGACAAATTTTTGTCAGTTAGCGCCCATGTCTATATCAAATCAGTCAAGATCCGTTTTTGACGCCAGACATGTAAAACTTTCAGTTATTCTGTCTGTCCTTTTTCCGCGCTATAAAGAAAAAGCCGAGCTCAATAGTCTCCCACAAAATCAATTTGAGTCCATGGAATCCGATTTCTTATGTTGTTTGCAAGTATGTTTCCACATAAAGAACGCCTCTGAAACTACTTAGGTTTTAGCGGCCATCTTACGCCTTCAAAGCATGATTTCTCGAGTTTCGAACTGGCTAAGTCCTTTTGAATAGTTTTATCTAGCATGTGTTAAGTATCTTGACTATTTGCAGAGAAAACGGCAGACTTGAAAAAAAATTCGTTCATTTGCTCGTTGAAATCAAGTGCCTTCTTAATTGATGTAGCCCAGTGTCGCATAGAATTCAGAATTTTAAAATGCTTTTCGTGTGTATGTTTGTGGGAAAGTCGGGCGACTTACTGCATATTCAATGGTTATTTTAAAACAGACGAGAAAATCTCTGCAACCTAAGTTCTGGTTCAACAGATTGCCGACAAAACATTGTAAGGATTGTCAACTTTGTTGATAGAAGTTTCACAAATGAATATTCAGTCGATTTTCCTACCATCGGACGCTCTTTTTCGATATACTTTTTAAAACATTTTCATGCTTGTACAGTGCTACCTCAAAGAACAAAATCAACTAAATTCATTGGCCAAAAACTGCGTCGCCACAGAAAAACATCAAAAATATAATGTTAGTTTGCTTATCCTTGTTTTCGATTCAAAAATAGGATAAGAAACAACCAGTTGCTACAACCTCTATTAAAGCCATTTAAACAAATGCTAAGCCGGCTGTTAACCTTCACAAAAAAATCTTAAAAAATTGGTCAATGAGTTTCTAGCATTTTATTGCAATCACAAGATGCGATGTGTTAATTGTTTCGAAGACGGTTCTTCGTTCAATTGTTTTTGTATCATAAATTGATGTCGAAAATGTCAATTGAGGTCGAAAATTGTTTTTAGCTTACATATTTCAACTGATGAAAAAATTACTTTCATTCAGATTGTAAACCTTAGGCTTTGGTTTTCTGGTTGAACAGAAAAATCTGTAAGCATTAGAAATACCTACTAAATATTCGTAAAGATGAAACTTGTTTATCATAGAAATTTCGTTTGCCTGTTCGTATTACTTTAGTGATTACACAAAAATTGATGTTTCTACTTATTATGGTTACGTTAAGATCTCGGATCCAGTTTTGAAATCGTCATAAGTAATACCGTTTTAACGCTCCAAGATTTAAGGGTTTTGTTTGTGAAATTCAGTACAAATACCAAGCTCCCCTAAAGAAAACAAAAGTGTAAAAATTTATTCACAAATAAATACCCAAATCACCACAATTAAGTTTTTTGACTGTTCTAAAATTTATATCCTTTCGCAGTTAGTGCTTTTCTCGCAGCGTCAATTTCTAACTTGAGCGCATCGCTTTCGTTTTGACAGTCGTTGAAACTCGACACTCGGTAGCCAATCACAACAAGCGAATACAGTCCGAACAGCACAATCGTCAAAACAGGGAGAGCTCGGACGACGAATGAGAGCAGGGATGGAATCGGGTCCCCGTTCGAGTCGTAGACCAAGTCTGTCGGAAGTAGATTGAGACAACTGATCCAGAAAAGAAGCCCAGAGAACAGGAAAAGCATCCATTGGATGAGCTTTGTCATTTTATCTATAAGACAACATTGGTTTCAAGTTTATTGCCAAAATATTGATACGCAGCTAACTAGCATTTTCGCCCAAGATTTTGTAAAGCTAACTAGCATTTCGCCCAAGAACTAATTAAATTATTTGATTTTTCCTTCAAATTTACAAGAATAACTTGATCACATACAGCCATACAGCCCAAGATACCGGAAAATTATTCTATCTCGCAAAAACAGCACATATGCGATGCACTTGACAAAAATTGAACAACATTTGAAAAAATAGCTCCATATTATACCAACAAATTGTCGAGTTGCACCAGCTATGACTTGAGCACGATTCCCTGAAAACTATCTACAACTAAAGCTTCAATTTAAGTTACCAGCAAAGATGACACTAAAATCAAAATAGAGGCATCACACAAAACGAACACAAAAAAGGTTTATGTTCTGTACAATATTGCATACGGCACATCAGACACAAAACTATGTCACGTGGCTTCGAAATCACGTGACCTTTGCTGCAAACTGGCCAATCATGAGCTTCGTTACAATAGCCAATCAGATTCGGCGCCAATGTCGCAACATTTTTCGAACATAAACTACATTTTCCGGCTATCGATTCGATGTTGAACTTGAAACCTGCCAGATTTGAGACCATTAACGCTTTATTTGGCCAGTATTTCTGGCTGAAACTGTTTGGGTCTAAGTTGAACGTGTTAGTAAACCACAGCTCATTGAAAATAATATCAGAGTTCAAGCAATTTAATGACTCTGAACTGCTTGAAAACTTTCCCTTTTCCGAATAAGTAGACAAACAGACCAGTTTGAAATCGCGTTTCTCTCGTTTTGGAACAAACCCGTCTTCGTACACATAAAACAGAAATTCAAAATTCTCCGATGTGTCGATAGCGCACAAATTTTGTTGCGGTCTCGAACCCATAATATACTTACTAAATTTTGACTCGACAACTATTTGTTCTCGTTTTAACAAATTTGACAACTCTTCTTGAAGTGTCGAATTTGCCACCAACTCGTAGAAGTTTATCGGCAAATCGCAAAACCCACTCACGCCCGTTTTAGTGAAATAAATCAACCGATCTCCACTTATTTTTATTCTATAGATGAAATACGATTCCGGCAACTCGTATTCGTAAACTGATTCTGTGAATTTTTCATCATTTTCGTCTATTGGTACAAAAATAAGTCGATTAAACTTCGCTACAATTGCCAATTTCCCTGCTACCCAAAATGTGCCACATGAAATCGGGGCATGATCTATCATTGCATCTGCGTTTATTGAGCGACTGTTAGCCATCACCAGGTGCTTATTTAAAGTAATGACATCAATGGACCCATTAGTGTAACCAATTACCACTTTCGTTTGTGAAGTTTCCGGGTCACTATCTTCAAAACTGACCGCCAGTATCATACTCGGGCTCAATTTCAATTGACTGTAGTGAATGGTTTTAGTAGTCTTTAAATCACAATCCAAGATCATCATAACTAAATCCAGTTTTTTATTCACGACAATTAGTTCCAAAGTCCGATGCATTTCAAAGCTTTTCAGGGGTCGCTCAACCCACGCGAAGTGTGAAATGTCTCCATAATCACAGCTGTTTTTAACAACAGAGTTGTTCGCAAAGGTAGGTCGGATAATAGGAATTATTGTCAACTTTTCCAGCAGAGTTTGTGAGATGTTGCAGGACGCAAAACTTTCGGAGCTGTTGCAGGACAAGTCAACTTTGGTAACGATTAGCTAAAAAGTGAAAACAAATAATTAAGTTGAAGATAGCCAAGCTTCGCAACACATGCGATACAGCAAAAAACATTGCATTAAAAGATAGCGAATAGAAAAAAAGACGTAAATTAAATACTTTTTTTTTGAAAAATTAAGTTTAAAAAATTACTTCAAAACTCGAGAAAAAAAATTTAAAAAAAACTCATGATTATGATAAACAGCCTTATAAAGCACTGGGAATAATTTAACGAGCGTCAACTAAGGCGACAAAAACTGGCCTAGCTCGCGTTATGCGGAAAACAAAACTGTTGTCATAAAAAAAAATCTGAGCTAATAAGTTACTACGACCCATCCCGCTTGAAACCAACAAAAGCATACCCACACTAGAATCCCATTGATAAAGATTGATAATTTTGGGTGCCATTGCCAGTGTATGCAAAAAATGAAAATAATCGATGAGAACCAAAATGGATAAAAGTATATTTCTACACAGAGATGATACTGCGCTTCGCAAACACGAGCGAGAACACAAAAAAGCAGCTTTATAAAATGAAATAAAAAAATAAGCCTCGAATTAGAAAAACTTTGCTATATATTGATTTCGAACCTGCGACCTCGAGAATTGGAGTCTCACACCTACAAATCGACACAATTTTGCAAGTGATAGTATGGAATATAACAAACTGAAGAGATCCACACAAACTTTGCTTGTAATAAATTGGAAAGCTAAAGCCATATTTTGTATAAATTATGCATAATCTTCTATGAAGTTTCCAAAAATTGTCATTTCGCACTGTTTCTTAAGAAAAATTGGGTAAGGCGAGAAGGGACGAGCGCCAAAGAAAAGCGCGCGCCGAAAAGTTTGTCAAAGGTTCTAGCAAAAATGGAATTACTCTAATCATTTAATGTCAAGCTTACATTAGTCTGCATCAATTATTTCTGTTTTCTTTTTCAAATTTTCGGGTATCTGTTTTTTCTTCCAATGTTCACATTTGTTTTCGGTATCGAATTACAGCAACAGTGGAAAAACAACTTCCAGTAAACCTAAAGCTCATAAAAATTTTTCACGCAAAGACCTTCAGCTACCATTTAAGCTAACTTTTCGCTATCTTCTCATTGAAATGAATTAAGAAAATCTTAAGCGGCCATTTTGATTTTCAAAACCGACTTTAGAAAGCAAAATGAAAAAGCTATTGAGAGACTATCTATTTTCGAACTCCAGCTGTAAGTAACAGTAAACACTCTTTTGAACTATTTCACAACAACCATTTTTGCCTGATCTACTGTACAATTTTTTTAAGGCGTTCTAGGTGAGAATATACGCTGAATTTGAGAGGGGAGCGCGCACAAAAGCAGTTTTTTTGGACAAAAAATTACATGAAAAGTCATAAAATGGCACTTGTTTTTTGATTTAGTTCAGTCTCAATTTCTACTCGCTAGCTTGTAATACCAAACTTCGCTTGCTTTGTATCGCAAGTGAGGCAAGCCTCCACTCTGCGCCTCTCAGCTAACATTAATATTTGTAATGATCGGAAAATCAATTTGGTCAACCTACAACAGCCCCTAAAATTCTTTTCTTCCCCAAAATAGTTACCACAATTGGGGGGACTACTTGCGACACATCAAATATAGGAATAAAACAGCAGACTCAAGAGAATCAAAAATATCAATGAGGACTTCGAATGTCGTTGAAAAAAGAAATAGAAAAACAAAAACTTAATCCAAAGTTTTTTTAAAATTATTAGAACTTTTTGGAGAGTTTCAAAAGGTGTTGAAATTGGGCAGTCAAAATTTAAATTTGGGCCAAAGTCTTATCAATCTTATAAACAATATCGATAATTTTTAGGAAACAAAGTATATCGGAAATAGGCGGACATGATCAAAACCGACAGAATTAAAACTGACAGCTAATCAGCTGAAAACCAACCAAATTTGTTCGGCAAAATCGCATTGGAAAAAATACACGTACTGTCCAAATAGCATCCACGAAAACCATATATGTACTGAATGCAAGATGGTATACACAATTCCGAAACTAAACCGAGAGCTGAATAAACAAGCATAAAGCCAAAAATCTATCAGCAAACAAGTAATACCGATATTTTATTACTATACATACATCTAGATCTATCAAAAAAATGAAGACAACTTCAAAAAAAACATGCCCAGACAACAGAATGCAAAATTAGTATCGGAACAAAAAGTTACCAAGCCGTAGAAAAACCGAAAATACCTGCGCAGAAACCATTCATGAGGAAAAAAATTCACTAACATCTGACCAAATTAACATATTTCAAGTCCCCGTTACCCTCAGAGCACACACGAGAACATTTTTCGGCCATCGAATGACGCATTAAGAGGACACTAAGTCGACATAAAATAAGCCCAAAGCTGATAAAGCCGAAAAAATTGGAAAAAAAAGCTGAGATGGTATCATTAAAACCAATTTCATTTCAATTTGGCCGGATTTTTAAAACGCTTGTTTGAACAGTTTACAGCAAAAACTAACAACTTTTAGATACGGCAATTAGCCGACAAAACATAAGCGGTCAAATTTTACACCAGACAAATAGTCCAACAATTTTATTTGAAATAGAATATTTTCCGTTTGGGAAAAAAACAGATCCTTGTCAGGTTCGAACCCAAAAACTTCGCCGTCCCAGGCAAATTAGCCACCTCAAACTAAGTACGCCGGAGACAGTAAATACGAACTCATTATGAAGTAAGGTACCACCAGGTGTCCAGATGAGTCGTGCGATCAAAGTTTTTTAGGGGGAAAAATCGAGTTCCCGCTTGCAATACCCTTGCTTATCGCATGGGCAATAGAGCAACGGATTTTCATCGATTTTATTCTATTTTGTTGTGTGACGTCGACAAGAGAATGATTTATATTTAAAAAACTTTATATCACATAAATCCATAATAATTGAGTCTTTTTTCATTTTACCAAGATGCGGGAAAGAAATTTTTTAACCTAAAATAAGTTCTACAAAATGACAAAATTGATAAAACATAAACCAAAACGGTTTAGACAAAACTAATTAAAATTAACACAATTATTCAAAATCAGAGTTGGTAAAGTAAATTTACAATTCTAGTTATTAAATCTGCTGTAATCAAAATAACAACCGACGCTTTGAAAAAAAAGCAGCTAAAAAAGCGTACAAGAAAAAATAAAGGGCACATGGAAAAAAATCGTTAAATTAGCCGACGTAAATTAGGATGAGAACCACGAATCCTAAGAAAAATCATTATTTTTTTTGAGAAATAAGCGAAAAAAAAACAACCCAGAATGAATTGATAAGTTGTCTTTTTCAAATGTCGAAAAATTGAGCATGTCAGCCTGCACGTGAAAAAGACAGCAGATTTGATTTAATAAATTAAGTTGTATACGGGAAAAAACTAATTTCCGATAACAAATACAGTTGGTCTCGAAAGTGAAAAAAGATTCAATTTTGAAATTTTATTAAAATGTTCTTTACGAAATCTTGACAACTGAATTAAATTGTTGACGTACGACGGTTGGGTTTTGAAACACTGAGAAATCTCATCGCAAGAAAAAATAAATTCAGTGGCAATTCATTGCAATAGGATACAGAAACACACCATTATCGAAGTATTTAATTTGTTTTATGAGCTGCTTTTTTAGGCGAAGCATTCTAGCACAAGGCAAAGTCTTTGAAACCTCAGCGAGAACACCTAATCTAAGCAGCACCAAGACTTTTGTCACGCACAGGCGGAGCAGAACTTTGTATTACTTGCGATACATCACAAACATGGCAGGACAAGCTATCAGACAAAAAAGGAGAAGAGCTCGACCCAACCAAAAATTTACTTGTTCAAAAGAAATCGAAAAACTTGATAAAAAAGACTTGTCCTGAACAACTATTGCCAGCTTTAAATTAGCAATCAAAGTATATCAAGCAGTAATTAAGCCGACAATACTTAAAAAAAACGCCCATTGAGCAGAAATAAAATTATTTATACAAAAATATGAGGTAGAAAGCTTAAGAAACTCAGAAGTTTTCGCATCGCCCTACCCTCAAGTAACACGCAAGAAGTCTATCGACAACCTCAACAATAAGGCAACATTGTGCATCTATGCCGAGCCAAGAACACATCGGCAGAAACTATTCAAGACGAAAAATCTTTAAAGCGGAAATTGACCAGGAAGTCGGATCTGTATAAATTACAAAGTACAAGAATAAATCAAAATGACTTTAGATCTAAGTAATAACAACTTGAATCTGAACAAAAGTTAATGCTCTGCGAACTAAGCCGACAAAAATAAGCAGACAGACACATAATAGACTGACTATTGAAACTTTCCTGGAAAACTTCAATATCAAGAGTACCGTTATAGAAGTAGACCAGTAGCTTAAATAAATATTTCAAGAATTTGAGCATGTCGATGGGGCACGTTAATGAAGTGCACGTTATGCACAAGGACTGAAATGATTTTGTTGAACAAGTTGTTAACCGAAAAAGTCTATTCAGAATTGATTACGCTTGCTAATTGCAAGCATTAAGATTGGTTACAAACAACATCACTTCGCGTTTGGAAAAATTAATTTCTTTATTTTTCAGGAAAAATGTAACCAGTAAAAATAAAATTGAATTTTTTTCAAAAACCTCGTTTTAGTTCAAAAACAGTAGCTTCAGCTGTAACAAGTTTTGGTTACATGTGCTTTACGATCAAAATAATGGCTTCCTTTCTGAAACAAACAGAAACATTATTCTGCTGTCAGCTAATAAATCTCTGAAAAAAGTTTTAAAAAAACTAGAAAAAATTGAAAACAGATGATTGAAGTTTAAGTTTGAAGAACTCGACAAGCTCAACAAAGCAACCTTCCACAAAATATAATCAGAATTATAAAAGCATAAAAAGGACTGCAGAAAAAGAACGCTATTCAAATAAAATTATAAGGACAGACATTTAGCCGGAGCCAACAGAGGTTCGCTCATCGCCTAAATTTGCTGAAAAAGTTCTTAGAGCCCATTAAACTTTCCGGTGAACTCCAGAACCTACTGATTGGCTCAAGCAAAGCAGCACGCACAAGTTTAAAGACCTTGCCAGATCATTAATCATTCAAGCGCAGTTCAATTTTAGAAAAAAAAACTATGATTATTATTAGAACTGTTCGAATAGCTGGTAAAAAAAAACTTGGAGAAAAAATGCTAACACAGAGACGAAGCGGAGCGAATCCACATTCAAATAAAATTACAAGCTAGCGGACAGACAACTTGAGGAAAACCACAAAGTCCGACTCAACTGTTTCAAAAATTTCAACTGAAATTATCATCTTCAATCATAACTTTTATTTTGTGGACTATCTTTAATTTTAGGCACGTTCATACAAAATAGACTCCTCGTTTGTAGCTCCACCGGCTCCTGCAAAACTCTTCTAAGTTCAGTAAGAGCGAATACTTGATACTACTGATGATGCTATCAAGGTATATACAACTAATTTCGAGATCTCGTTGTGACTATAAAAATGCGACTATATACAGAAAAGTATAGCTACCAAAACAACCTAAAATTCTTTCCATCACAATTGTTGTAGTCTCTGTAATAACTGAACAGGACTTGAAATGTGGTCAAAACAATAAGCGAAGATAGAATTTACTGTTTCAGCGATACATGATTTAAAGACTCAAAATCTAGCACTTCATGAGCTCTAGATATTGAAAAATTTTGTGATAATTAGACGAGATAGACATAATGGACTGGGCATTAGCCTAACGGAGAGGACACAAAAAGCTGGATTCGATAAAAACCACTCTAGATACAGGCATGTTCGAGTTCGATAACTTGGGTGGTAAATTAGACACACTCTTTGACAATTTTCTTGGACTTTTAGCAGGGATTTTTCGATTTTTTATATACTTTTGATTCCCATGAAGGTGCTACAAAAATCTTCAAAAACTAATTTGACTGGAATAAAACTAAGTTCAAAAGTTTAAATGAACGCTTTTTGTCTTATTATAAGCCTGCTCACTCGCGAAAAATTGACAGCCTCCGATTTGGTCTCGAAAGATTTTATGTCATTGGGAATTTGACTGAAAGGGCTTGAATAGGTATTACCTGACTTATTCCATTGATTAATTCTGGTACTTGATTTCGCGGAAAATTGTGGAGAAGTTTTGAAAAACTAAGACACCCGAAGAAAAAACTTCAAAAAGCGAAAAAAAACTTCAAAAAGCGAAAAAAAACTTCAAAAAGCGAAGAATTAGATTGAAAAAATATATATTTTTTATTAAGTTTTGCAAGCAGCAGTCCTTGCACCACTAGTCTTCAACTATGGATTAAGGATCTGAAAAAAAAGATACCAAAATAATGCACGTTTGTACAATAAGCTGATAAAACAATGTTTTTGTCGAAAACGAGAATCTATAAACAGCTCTAAAACAGCTTCAGCTTTGTCTTAAAAATCTGTCGCAATAATTCAAAACAAACCCTTCGAAAACTAAATGCTGAAAATTAGACTTCATAATAAAAAGTAAAACAGGCTAAAACGAAAAAAAAGAGAAAACCTTCTATCGTTTTGATTAAGAAATCGATGAAGAACAAGCATTCGTCAAATATCTTGAAGTTAAGACTGATCAAAGTTTTTAAGTTTTTAACTTGAAGTTAAGACTGAGAAAAAAAAACTATAAGGAAAAGAAACATAACTATCCATCAAAAACACATTGAAAACAGAGATAGCAGTGGGAAATAAAGGTTTTTGAACATTAAAACACACCCGAAGACAAAATTCTTCCCTAATTTCAGTGATCAGGACAACAACAACGGGATTACTCTTATTGAAAGCACTCCACTTCAGCCATATATGCTAGCCAGCTGAACTACTAACAGATCATCAAATCATCTAATAACATCACTCGAGAAACAATCAAGTTGAGCAGTAAAAATAAGATTCTTTTTCCGATTTGAAAACCCAAGAGAATATTGCCGGTTAAACTCATTTCAGACTAAATACTATCAGGCTACTTCTGGAAAATTAGAAACAACTGAATACCAGCTTATATTAAATTCTATAATACACAGATCATCAGTTAACTGAACGTCGACGAACAGAAAACCCGTTTAACAGAGCGAAGTTATATCTCACTTCCCTAAAAATTTCTTTTTTTTTTCATAAGAGATCTACCATTATTAAACGATACTCAAGGTCTCAAAAAGTTACACCATTAGTAGTTTTTTTTTTAAATTATTCAATTATTCATTCATTTTAATGCATTTATTCGCCTCAAGATGGTGTCCCTCAATAATGACAGCTCACATCGCATCATGTCGCTAAACCTAATAAATCGATACTTCGAATTAACCGGTTAAAACATTTTATTTGTCTGAAATTTCACACAGAGGCGAAGCTACGCTTCGCAAACACTTGCCAGAACACGACAAAAAGCAGATCTATCAAGTGAAATAAGAAAAAGTAGAATGAGCCTCGAATTAGCAAAAACTCGGCTACGTGTAGGATTCGAATCAGCGACCTACAGCAATCAAGGGATTTTGAGTCTCATGCACTATCCACTCAGCCACGCACGCTTAACAACCGACAAACAATAGTCACGAATTAGGCAGCTACATATGCTAATTAATTGCCCAAGCCATTGAGCAAAAGTGGCACCAAATACAAATAGACTCAATTTTGCAAGTAATAATTTGGAATAGAACAAACTGAATGCATCCACACTAACTTTGCATGTAACAAATCGCAAAGCATAAAACTACATTATGTATAAATTATGCATATCAAAAATTTGCGAGATATATTGAGTTAGAAAATTTCTGAAATCGAGTTTTCATTATTGTTTTTGTTTGAAACAAATCACTTTTTTCGGTTCATTTGATGATATAAAAATGCATCAACTGTGTTAACTTATTATCAATCGAATGTCAAAGCACATGCTATGAAAAAGCTGTAAAGGTGCCCCAAAAGTGGCACCAATATTTGCTACTTAGGTTGGAAAAAAAGAAGGTTCGCACTAATACACTGGCTTCGCAAATGTAAATAACCAGTCAACCGCTCCATGATGCAACAACAGCAATAACTAACTTGTCCCTCGTTAGAGAGAGCGGCGATGTGGATTGCGGATGGAGCCCATCTGACTCTCCTGATTAGAGTGAGGTTGGAGAAGGGAGCTAAGTTTGTGTAGGAGTTGGTGACCTTATTCGCCAACAGCTCCCGCAACTCAAACCAAGGACCAGGCAACAGCAACTGCAAACAAACTCAATCGTTATTATTAGTTTAAGTAAAAAAGAACATTGAATTTACTGAAATTTGATATATATTAACAAATATTATTCAAAGCTTACAGGCAGTGTAGAAACTGAAAATTTGCAAGAAAAAGATTTCAACACATGCTAACAAGTTCCAGTTTAAAAAAAACTTTAAAAGACTTTAAAAAAAACAATAGAGAAACTTTACACAGAAACGACACACAGACACATTCACTTAAATTACAACCTGAAATACCAATAATTTTAAGTAAGTTTCTTTTTATGCAAGTGTATTTTGTAAATGTTCATTTTATGTAAGCGTTTTATGTAAGTTCAAACCTGTCTATAGATGGCATTGCGCACGAATTCCAGACTCAAGTAGCGTGGAATGAAAATATGAACTCCTTTGTCCGAGCTGATCGCCACTACATTGCAACAAGATACATGCATATCTCTGACATGAAAACAACGCACTGGAGTCTCGTTTCGATGCAGCCATTTGGAGCAACCTGATTGGTCAGTGTCTCCAGTACCGTTTAAAGCTTCATTTTCACTTTCGTCATCTTCGTCTGTGGATGTGTGAACAGATTGATCCAACATGACCACTTCTTCACAATTTGCTCCATTTGAGAAGCTGTCTTCCATTTAGAGACCGATATAGCCAAACGTTGGTCTGCAGATATTGTTTTTTTACAGTCAAAATAATCTGAAAACAGGTCAAAACTCAAACGTAGCCAACAGGTGGTAAAGAGTCAATGAACTCAACGAAACCAAAAATTTTGAAAAATATTTAAAGCTTCGAAGAAAAAAAAAGTGACAGATCACTTTAAAGCTCTTCGAATTGCAAGAGTCATTTATTAGCGACAAATTTTCCATACAAATAACCCAGTTAGAGAAAACTGGGTCAATTGTTTATGTAATTTATTCCGCTGGAAAAACAACGAAATGAAATCCGTTTTCATAAGTCACTAAAAACGCGATATTTATTCGTAACTGAAGATCGTAATTTGCCTTCCTTTAGCAAATCAATTTGCCTTCCTTTAGCAAATTTGACGTGAAAAAAGTTCCTTTAAATCAACACGACCTTTTAAGTGTCTTCACTACGTTCATTGACACTTGACCACTGTGTTAATCAATACTTCACTACGTATATTTTGTAAATTAATATCTTTCTAATAACAAAGAAATTTTTTTCGCAATTGTTAGATCAATTGTGATCTATAAATTGCGACGGATATTTTCAATTCGAAAAATTCAGTCATAAATTGAGATCTTTCCGTTTGTTTTACTGCCTGTCGTACCCAAGCGCAATTTATACACGAGCGAGGATCCACTGCGCACCCAAAATCACAAATAAGCGATTGAAGGCAAACTAATTGGGCCCATAAATTTTTAAAAGACTCAAATTACAATATTTAGAACTCGTTCCCCACATTTCAAACTTTTCCATTTCCATAACGTTGTGCATGCGTGATATTATGATCACAATTATGAAGAACAAATGTAATCAGGATAGTTATTTTGTTTTCCATGCGAAATTTCATTTCAGTATCAAAGCGTTAAATCAGTTTGTCGAATTTTTTAAAATGCGAGTGTGGGAACTGGAAAAGAGCTATATCAAGTTTTATAATTTATAATTTGATTCTTTCATGAAAACTGACTGGCAAGCTTGGCTCAATTCAATTTACAACAAGACTTCTCGTGAATACCAAGCAATTGACAAATTAATTGAGAAAAAAAAGCTAATTAAAAAAAAAACCTTCATTTTATCCCCCTCACACGCTAGGCATGTAAAATACCAAGGGTGGGTTTAGCGTCTCGCATTGTGATAATAGGATTAAATTGCTGGCCTCAATTCAATTTGGAACGCATTAATTGGCTTTTTACGCGTTATACGTACGCAAAATATCGCACTGTAATTATCCAAAATTGGCCAAATTAGCAATCTTTTAACGCCCGTAACTTTACAAAAAATATCACAGGTGAAATGTCTTTTTAAATTTGAGCTCAAAGCAACAATATCGTTCAGATGTTTTAAAAATTTGTAAACACCAAGCGCAGGTTGCTTGCCTCAGATCAATTTGGAAAGATACAATTTGTCGCTTACGATTTTTTAGAACGAAATATATCGCCAGTTAAATATCCCCATCTGAATTATAACAGTAATATAGTCGTCCAAATTCAGACCAATTAATTTGTTTTTGAAAAATGATCATAGGTGGAACATCTTTTTAAATCTGAGCCTCAAACAACAATATCTTTCACATGGTATAAATCAATTCCGTCAAAAATGCTTAGGGTGTTTTTTTATTCAGTCAAATTTCGACTTTTAAACTAAGCATAAATAATCCGTACTTTCTTTGAAAATAGGAACAATTTTTTTGAGTGCGGAAAACGGGATTTTAGTAGACCGGTTTTTTTAGCAGACTCAAAACAATTATAAAGCGTGATAGTTAACTTCAAACGCAGCAATGGCGATTAGGGACCGCTTGCTCCGCTGCGCTTCAATTCAACACGAGTGTTATTGTGCGCGTAACTCGTTTTTTGCCGCAAATTTAGACTGTTGTGTTTCTGAAGTTGATAGTTTTGTGATAGATAATTGACTTAATTGGGGAAGCTTGGCCCCAGATTGAGCGTCTTTTTGAGTCTGTCAATCAATCATCCATCACTTTATTACGTTGGTCTGCTAAAAGACTCATTTTTTACTTTTTATGCTAAAAGAATGGTCTGCTAAACGATCGGTCCCCGCGGAAAACATATCCGCTCAAGTAATTCGCGCTTATGCGTTGAGCATCATAGATAAATTCTAAGAGCGCTGATACTAATCCAATTAGGCTAAATTTCAAAACAACGAAACTTTACCAAAAAATATTGCAGGTGGAATATCATTTCATGTTTGAACTCAAGGATTAAATACTTTCACTGGGGTGCAAAAGCTTGAGCCACTAATTCAGATTGAAAAAAAAAACACCGAGCGCAAATATTCATTTACTTTCTTCGGAAGTCGGGACAAAACCACACCGAGCGCAATAATTACTCGCTTTGTTTGAATGCCGCAACAGCATTGAGGAAGTTTGGGGAGCACAAGCACATAACACTTGATTTAAGCTTAAGAAGTAAACACCAACAGTCGAAGACACGGCAACTGAATTCAAAATAATCTTCTACACATGCAACACAAAATTGTTATTACAAAATACAGTTCACGTCTATTTATATCTCATTCCCATTTCCCTTTCTGGAAAGTCGCACAATCCAAAATCTCTCTTGGATCGCGATCTTTTTATCAAATCCAATCAATCAATTGAATATCCAATCAATTGAATATGAATCACGTGACCACTTCGTACTTGTTCAGCTCCTCCTTCAGCTGTTCCAGCTTGGCCTGTTTGACCTTGAGAGTGTCCCGCAGTCTCTCCGTCTCCTCCGCCACCTTCCGCCGAGTGGACATCATGTCCTCGTGGGTCTGATGCTTCACCGCCTCAAAATCAGTGTCGTGTCTAAATTTTAAAAAAAAACAGCCAATTTTTCAAACCAGTCAAAGAATCGAAGAAAGAACTTTGGAACAGCACTTGCAATAAAACACAAAAATAGCACGGCAGCTAGACGAAAAAATGGGTTAAGTCATTCAATCGAAAAAGCCATCGAACTATTATTTTACGTTTGTCTCGAATGCAGTTCCTTTGAGGAAAGATGCTGCGAAATACAACTGACAGCGATGAGCAAGTATTGAAAACAAAAGTTACCAAGCGGTAATTAAGCAGAAAATACTTGGGTAGACGATCGTTTAGCCAAAAAAATTTGAGCTCTAAGCAAAAAAAAACATGCAAAAAAAGGAAATACAAAACTAAATGCAATTAAAAAACAGTTCCCCTAGTGAATAAAAAACGAAATTAAAACAAAATTAGTTCCGCTAGTGAAAAAAAGATCGAAATTAAAACGAAATTTGTTCCGCTAGTGAAAAACCTGTTAGAAATACTTACTTATGAATACCAAGTGACAGTGCTTTTGCCGTCCTTAACGCATCCACCATCATCGCAGATGGCTCCAGGAACAACATTTCATCATAGTGCTCCCAAACCAACGGCTTCTTTCCCTGGATCAAATCGGGCGCCGGAAAAAACAACTTCAGAAGGTGATAAAAGGTCACTGGTTTCTCCTGGGGGTCAATAAAGGTCAGTTTGATTTGGATCTCAAACTCACCCCAACCAGTTTCTGTTATCTCGTACGGCGGTCGGTTTACCATTCGTCTCGGGTTTACGTAACTGTCGTGGAGTTTGAACTCGACTCGTTTCACAAAAACCGAGAGATCTTCGTTCATGTATGGTTTTATGTAGACAGTCCACGAGTGTGTATGTCCATCTTCTTCTCGTTTTTTGCCAAGGTACCTCGAAACACTTCCAAACACGACTGGTTTGATCACAAGGTTGCTCATTTTAGCAGCCTTCGGTTCACTCGCCATTGCGAAACTATTCACTAGCTATTTGTAGATGTTATCAACATGCGAAAACTGAAATAGTTTTTAGAGGATTAAGATTGATAGATCCTCCGTTACACGGCTATGAAACGCTTTTTAGAACTTCAAGCTGTAGAATTAACGTTTACTTAGAAAGCAAAACATTCCTAGACAAATTTCTCAAAACGATGGAAAATTCTAGCGTAAAATATTTTCATCTATTGCAAACTTGGGCCGTTTTTTTGTGCGCAGTGAGAGAAAAAGATCTAAAAGAATGTTTACATTATTATTGGCCGTAAATGACTACAGTTGTCTTAGAAAAAAAACGAAAAGCAAAAATGAAAAATGGTCAAATATTTTGCAAACAAAATGAACTGTAAATAAAAAACTTTTGGAAAAAAATGTTTCTCAACTATTCTGCCGTCCTGCACTGAAAGTCGAAACAATTTTGACACCGTGTGTGCGTGTTTTAATTTTTTATTTTCTTTATTCTTTACAAGCAAATAATGTACCACAAAATCTTTCAGTTGAAATTCGAACGACATTCTAAAAAATATCATTGTCGACGAAAGGCTTTAAATTCAAGAAAAGGCTTAAATTTTTTATTTTTTAGTCTAGGTATAGCGAGCGAGTAAAGTTTTTTATATGATATCTGTTATTCGAGCTATAAAAACAAAGGAAAACTAGTCATTGAAGGTTCATCTAGCGCCTCCTAAGATTTTAATAACTAAAATAAAAAATGCTGAAGTGTTGTGAAAATGCTGAAGTGTTGCTGAAGTGTTGTGAAGATTTTACTAATTTGCTTTCTAAAATTTTTCAATACCTACTTTTTCAAAAAAAAACATTATATACTTGCAAAACGTTGGGTCAAATCTTCAAGCGCAACGACATTTAACTTTTTAAGGCGCTGAAGTTGCTTTAACTACGTAAAACCATACATAAACTCCGCTTTCTAATCAGCCTAATCAAATCAGCGATTAGTTATTCTGAAGAGTAAATTATAGACCAATTTTCTCAACACCTTTTGGCAACATCTTTTTTGAATCCAAATCACTTCTGGAAGAGCTTTGATGTCATATATTTCCTTACGACCCAGGGAGTTGTTGGAACGTTCGAATCGTCTTAAACAACGCGCAAATCAGGTACTGACAAATAAGTGATGGTTCATTGCTTCAACCACTAACGCCATATTTCATCTCTAGGGGTATCTTATAGCTTAATTTGAATCCCCACACCAATTTAGGGCCGTGAATGGCTTAATCTTCACGGCATCGAGCACCTAACAGCCAGTGACGCGACCAAAAATGCCTGATACGTTAAGCTGTTAGTAAATAGTCTAACAAAACAAAATGGTTTTAAAATATTCGAACTTACCGTAGTTTTTTCTTAAATAAGTGATCGGAAATTACGGTTCTACTTGTCTAGAAACTAGTCGGCAATATTCTTATCAGCCAATGAATAATTTTGAAGTTATCAGACAGGCTAAACTACCCTAAGCAATATGTCATTCAGCAGCCGATTTAGGTGGGGGGTACGCCCTCCTTCCTCAGGGATTCGACACCCTGACGACCCAAAGTGTCCCCTCACTTTGTACTATTTTAAGTTCTCAATTTTTGGCTGACGGACCCGAAATTTGTTCAAAAGGCGCCTTTGACGCCAACATATACTAAAATGGGGGGAGCGCATTTTTTATGGCTTGTTTCTTCAAATTTTCGCATGCGGCGCAGAAAATCAATTTGTTCGACCTACAAAAGTCGATAAATTTTTTTTTGAAATTCTGTTGAAAATCCCCCTCGAGAAAATCCTAGATCCGCTTCTGATATCATTTAATCAAACAACACAAGAACGTAGTTTCTAAATGTTCACTATTTAAACACTAACCGATTACGCTTATAAATTTTCTCCCCCCTTCCATCTGAGAATAAAATCCAAATTTCAATTAAATCTAATAAAGTAAATGTCTATGGCAGCGCGAACAGTTTTCACAAATTGACCGGATTCAATTCAACCCCCATCAATTTGATCAAAAAAAGGAAACAAATTATGGAATCAACCACTAAATAGTTCCGTCTTTTCGAGGAAATTGAAACCGAAAACTGTGAACAGAATTACCCGAAAGAAGATGGGGCTAATCAGTCCGTTTATCACTCGATAATCATTCTTGATTGCTAATTGTCAAAATGCTTCCCAGATTACAGAACTTAACCACACCAAATAATTTGACAACTCTACCGAGAGAGAGATTTTCGAGAAATTTTATGATTGAAGAATTGCTCAAAAAACCAACAAATTACTTGCCAGCAAAACCCAGCGACGAGAAACGCTAAGAAAATCTTCGCTCGACCACAAAATACGATTATATGAAAACATCAGAATCGTTGAAACCAAGCTTTTCAAGTAAGCAATATTGTTTTCACGCAAGCAAAATCGAATCTCCGTTTTCAGAAACGCCCAGTGTATTATGAAAAACAAACGGTCAAGTTTTTTTGTTTACAGTTGAATCAGAAGTTCAGAGCCAAAAATAATTCAATCATTTTGATACCATTACATTTTTCATTGGCTAAGAAATTGTACATTTAGCAAATAATTGCACAATCTTCATTTTTCAATCATTAAGTTTTCTCGGTATTTCTGACACCTGACTCGTGAAGGACCCAAACCAGTCGAAGAACTAAATAAGGTATGAGCAGTACAAAAAAGGCTTTGAAACGAAACTATTCAAAAAAACCTCTGGCGGTGAAAAATTTTGCCCAATTAAAAATTTTTGACAAAGCAAAAAAATTAAAAAAAAAAACGTGCGCATGCCATTGACCTAATTTATCATTTCTATTTTTTGAAATAAATGTACTTGTAGTCTCATCAACATTTATTTGGTTGTAATAAATGAAGTCTCAATTTTAAACTTTTTTATTTTGATAGTAGTCAAATTATACAAATAGTACTGCGTTTCAGATCACTCCTTTAGTAACAAAAATTACAAAAATAACAAAAACTAGACCCGTTCTTCTCGAAAAAGACTTTTTCGATTTTTTTAAGAATCCGAATCACTACTTAAAGGTGAAAATTGACCCGAATCCTAAGTTCTTACTGACTTCTAGTGGTCGGAGCATAAATTAGTGCTAACATACATTTTCAGATATTGTACAGTTTTACCCAGAAGAAAGCAAATCATCGTGTATTCCTCACAATGATTACTACAAGACAACATTTCCAGGATTCTTAAATATCAAACCAGCTGCTTCTTTTGGGTCTAAAAGTATCCTACATGCGACGGAAATGAATACCACTTCTGGGAAATCAAGATCGAAGTTTCACCCTGGACGCCGAAAAAGAGCCAGTTTCTCCAAGTTCCAAGTGGATCAGCTCAAAAAAGAGTTCACGCATAACTGGTAAAATACCTAGATATATTTTTTTCAGATATAAAGCAAAGATTAAAACTCGGCTACGATTCGGATTTTAAACGATCATTTAGCTCGTTTTTTTTTGATCTGTTGCTCTTTAAAAATGGATAAGTTTGCACGTTCAGCGCTTTAAGGCAAAATTGGGCGGCTTAGATGACGCGTTTTCTCAACTAATTTTTTTTTGAAACTCAGTTATGAAGCCAAACCAATTGATTTTAAGCATACTCATGAATCGGCCTTTTCGCATTAATTGTTAGAAGAGTTTGATTGTATATCCCAAGAGTTAATGCAAAAAGGTTGATTCGTAACTAGGCTTAATACTCCTGTATGCGTAACCATAAGAGTAACCCTTGATCGGCGAGCAAAGCTTCTTCGTAACAAGGTGCCATAATTTACAGTAAACTTTGGATCAAGTAAACATGCGCACTCCAAAGCAATCATTCTCTTCAATAAAAGCATTCTTTTTCAGCCAATCAGAATTCAGAGTTTGTAATATTGGCTTTGCTCGTAATCTTTCATATTTTTGTCACATCGTCCCAAACATTTCATTTTGTTTAGTTTCATAAGAGAGGAAAACCGAGTTGAGCTGGCTGCACGACTAGGCATGGGCGAAAACCAAGTGAAGGTGTGGTTCCAGAACAAGAGAGCAAAACTGCGCAAGAAAGCAATTCACAGTCAACAAAGTCACTGTCAGCATAGTTATACGAACACTAACCACGCCAACACCATATTGAGCAGATCGAACGATACATCTATGTTTCAAAAGCCATAAATCTTTGACATAAAAGAGACACATAATGAAATAATAAAATAATAAGTGTGGTTTCTGCAATTCGCAAAGGATCTATGAAAGGGTAGTTTATAATGTTTCCCCACGTCCCAGACTGCATTATTTTAAGGGCGAATCTCCTTTTTGCAATTCAAGGCAGTTTTTTTGCGTCTAGTATTTTCACGTGGTACCAATAACTCACCGAAGTCGGCCAGGCTGAGATAGACCTGAAGCTAGAGGTCAAAAGAAAACTCGTCACTACACACTATCATTGTAATTACAGGGATCGAACACACAATCTGATGATCGCAAAGAGAACGCCTAGCCATTATCCTAAGCATCTCATACAGACACTGAAGTCATACAGACATTGACGTCATACAGACATTGATGTCATACAGACATTGACGTCATACAGACATCGACGTCATACAGACATTGATGTCATACAGACATTGACGTCATACAGACATTGACGTCATACAGACATCGACGTCATACTGACACTGAAGTCTCACAGACACTGACGTCGTACAGACACTGAAATCATACAGACATTGATGTCATACAGACATTGACACCATACAGACACCAAGTCATACAGATACTGACGTCAAAGAGACATTGACGTCACACTGACAGTGAAGTCATACAGACACTTACGTCATACATACATTGACGCCATACAGACACTAAGTCATTCAGACATTGACTTCATACAGGTATTAAAACAATACCAACATCGACGCTATACAGATACAGGCGTCATACAGACACTGAGGTCATACAGACATTGAAGCCATACAGACATTGATGTCATACAGACATTGACGTCATACAGACATCGACGTCATACAGACATTGATGTCATACAGACATT